GAGGATCAAGGATGACACCAGCAGCTGATACGACAGCACCTGATTCGCAAGCATTGGCTACCATGGTGAAACAAGTCGTGTTATTCAGTGGTGGACATTGTGAACAAATTACTTCTAAGTCGCCAACTGGAAACAAGGGATGCCCTAGTAGAAAGCCTTCATCACAGGCGAGCCCATTATCATTCGCCAAGGGTTCCCTTTTGCGACCGATCATCGTCTGCGTTCCTGCGCACCTTTACAGCGTAAGAGTAGGTAACTCTTCACAGCCGTGACCCCAAACTGAAATATCATGCCGAACCGGCCATGACACCGGTACACCTCTGACCCAACCAGGTTCCAAAGAAAGCGCTTTGGGAACTTCCCATCGACCTTCTTCCAAGAGCTGCGGGGTCCCGAAGAAAACAACTGCCACCCTTCCTCGATGGTCAACTCACAGTTGTTACAATCATGAACCAATTATGGCTACAGATGTATCATTGATGTATCTTTAGGGAACCCCCAGTATACGTCCCTCCCTGGATGAGTCTTACCATGTTACATGGTATCATGGTACAACAGTTGTCCATGGATGAATCTTACCATGAATCGTATTCTGATGTACCATGATACAACAGTTGTCCATGGATGTCTCTCTATCCCCCTTCACTGGCCCAAGCCGTGGCACTTCCAGAGACCCCAAGCGCCCAAAAGCCGGGCATCAACCCGAAGGAGCTCATCAACCCCATGCTGAGCTTCAGAAGCCTAGCCGTGGTTCCATTCATGGCGACCAAATCGTGTCTTACTTGGAATCAGGCGCAGATCAACTGAGTCATAGAGTCATAATCAAAACACGGGCATTCAAACGGTCGTAATCCCAGAACCATGCTTCAAGAATTAAGAAGGCGGACATCCGCAGCTATTTATGGTTCCGAGTGTCCCTTACTAACCTTCATCTACCCATGTTTTGGTTGTGGGTCAACTGAAAGTGGAACATATTCCATGAGTTCTGGATGATGTTCATGGCGACCAACAAAAGTCAAAGGTGAACTCTTGTTCAAAACGCTGGTTTACGGGTCAGCTAGTCACTTATCTTGTATCTTAGGTTAGCATGGGATACCCTACTTCCCTCTGAGAGGCACTAGCTCCACGTCTCATCCACAAATACATCCCCTCGTCCAGACCCCCAGAATCCCATACAAAAAATCAACATACGGGAACCCTGAACTGGCTTGGGTTTTCCCGTTGGTTTCGATTTTTTTCAGCCAACCCGCAAGTCTCCATCAGCCAAGGTCACCGCCGAACAAGTTTGCAGCGCAGGCGCCCAGCTGTAGCCCAACACCTGGCGAAGCCGGAGGACCACCAAGCTGCGCCCAGAATCGACCCATCACTCAGATAGGTGGCCTTTTTGGACAAACAGATGGCCCTGGTAAATGGGAACAAACCCCATCTAAACCAGGAATCGCCCTCTACTTCTTAAGCAAACCAAAAAGGACACCTATGATCTCTCAGCTGCTCGCACCCCATTTGTTCCTCGAGAAACATGCCTGGGCTTTAATGCTCTTCCTGTCCGAGGCAGAAACCCTAGCACTTGCTTTGAAAAATCTTACATCCAACAATCAGATATCACAGTCCTCGTCGGGAGTGTTGGCATTGGTGGAGGGAGTGACATTTCAGCCAACATCTTAGGCGCTGACGTTGCTACTTGCCCAAAGGCCGAGGGTGGTTGATCTTAAAGGGGTCCCTGCGAGAGTCGGCCCGCATCTTCAAGTGCAAACTCGCTGGAAACGACCTTCAGAAGAGGGTCTGGGTGAAGCTCCCCCTGCAGGTGTCGTTTTCTCAACAAAAGCAGCATGGCAGTGGGATTCGGTGTGTCGAAACTGCTTCTCCCCTAATCGTCTTCTTGCCATTGTTTCTCTTGCTCGTCCTCTAGCAGGTTGCAGCATGTTGTAGTGAGGCATGCAAGCAACGGCACAGCGAGGCAGTGATCTAAGGGCATTATGAAATTAGGAATCGCTTCTGGATGATGTAAAGAGTGAAAACAACATGAACCAACTGATTTTAAGGAGTCATCCATTTTAGTAATCGCTCATCACCCGCATCGTTTGATCTTCTCAACGAGCTACGTGTCTTTCGACTTCCGGGCTGCGCGAAGAAGTCAAGAACAACGAGCATCTGTTGGCTGGATTCTTGTTTTCACTTCAGACCACCCAATGGCAAGCTCTAGGGGCAAGGGTGCTGTCCCATTTGAAAGATTGGCATGAGAAAAGACTTTTGCCTGTTTCAAGCCGACTGGTTTTGAACCCATGCTGATCAGTCAGAACACGTAATCTTCTGCAAGGTAAGCCCATTGAAGGTCACGCAAACGGGCTCCAGTGCCCAGACGCACAGAAACTGAAAGGTGGCAGGTCTCCGGACTTCCGTACTCACTATATTTAGGGAAGCAACCGAGAAATCTACCCCTCCAACTAACATGGCAACTGACAGGGGCTCCCTTCAAAAGGAAATGAATCTTCCAGATACCTCCCCACAGGTGCCATGTTGGTTGGAGGAAATCTCGGCAAGTAGCGGCACTTTTCCGCTGCCGATCATGCCTCTCCGGTGCCGTTTCGAGTCCCATGGGCGATCACTTTCAAGAGCCGGTCACAATGACTTCCCCCAAAGCTCCCCACCATGTCCCTCCCAAATACTGAAATCGCTTCCCTAGCTGAAAGTCACCAATCAAGTCCCCTGCTTTATGCCTACAAAACTAGCGTCGCAAAATATCCAAGGGGCGGAGTCTCAGAGCCCTAGAGGACAACAAGAAAAACCAAGCGAGCCGTTTCCTTGACAAGCAGTTGGACCAAACGGGAAACCCAACAGCTTAACAGGGCGGCCTTGGGCGGCCTTTGATGAAGTAACATCTTGCCAAATCCTTTCACCCATCGTTTCTCACTGAATGGGTGTGTCTTCTGGTTTGAGGGCACCCTTCTTGCGCTTCCGAGGGATCCCGAAGGGAAACTGCGCATTTTGAGGGTGAGACAAACCCACATTGGCAGGCACCGCAGCGCGCTTTTCTTGTGCGCTAGCCAACGGAGCATTTCCAACACATAGGCGTCCCCTAGTCATCCTACCCATGGTTGGCGTCTGTTTGCTTCTCGCAGACCATACCTTGCCCCTAGCGAAGGCTCAGCCGAAGCTTCAGTCCAAAGAAGGCCAACTCCAGCCGCGGGAAGCGGAAAAGGGGGGAAGTTCGACAACTTTGGAGTTCAGAGTGGACCACCGGTTAAACATGACACCTCTTGTTTAAAGCTCCTCCTTTGGGTTCTCCTTAGGTGGGTTCTGCAGGATACACGAAGCAATACCAAGGTCCAACCCGCCGAGCAAGCCTGTTCGCCCACCGGCATCTCTTTGAGCACGTCGAAGCCCACAGAGCCCCGGTAGCAGAAGAAGAGAGAGGCCAGCACCGTGGAATAGCCTGTGGAAAGGCTATTAAACTGTTCTTCTCCCTTTTGAGGGACCTTTTCGCGATTCAAGGGAAATCAGTTGGACAACCACCAGCTTGACCATCAGTTTTGAGACAAAAAATAAAAATCCCGTGGAATTGTCTGATCGGGTGGGGAAATCCCCTGTCCTAATCCGCGATCTGTAGCCAGGAGAAAGGACGCCATTACAGGAGAAACGCTTACCTGGCACAAGGCATCGGGATTCATTTCGAGCAACCCGAGGTTGAGCTAGCGAGTTCGCTAGGAGCGGCTCAGGCTTATGATCTCGGAGGTGGCAAGGCACTGGGCGACCCTGAGCGATGGAGAGGACCGGAGAGGTTTCGAGCAAAGGCAGTGCCGGGCGTTGCCTTGAGAAGTTGAGAAGTTGAGGCGTCAGCACCCTGATCCATGAGAAGACTTGTGGAGAAGCTAGAGGGCTACGTGCATGCGAAGAAATGGCCGGCTTGGGCGGAGCAACTTTTGTGTGCGTGGCCAGGCGGAGCACCCGAAAGCCGGGCAAAGAGCCGACTGCTGGCACCTATGCAGCGGCATCACTTCCATGGCGTCCGCAGGTGAGGTGAGTGCGGCCGCGTGCGGCCGCATGAGGATGGCTGGCAAATAGCCGTCGCCGGGGATTCGAAGGATCATCAACGATTCGTTGAGACCAGGTCGTCCCAAGAGCCGTAGGTGGCAGGGGCCCATGGGCTCACGAAGGGGGGTTGATTTGAAGCCTGGAAGGAAAAGAACCTGAGACCTCCGAAATCCGAAGCTCTTCAAGCTATTGGGTATGTCGAGCATTGAGGATCGGGAGAGGATAGGCTTTAGGGAGGCAACGAGACGACGTGGAGATGGAGATGCACAGCTGACGGGTGACTGCAGGAGTACCACTGGTCTGATGCGGACTGGACACGTGGAACGCCCTTCGAGGTGTGTTTGGTGAAGGACCGGCAGATCAGAACACCTGCCGGGGTACTGGGTCGCAAATGGCTCCAGGCGGTTCAAGGGTGGTTCGCTGGGCATGGCATGAGGCCGTGCAGAAGGAGAGTGTGAGCAAAGAAGGCAGCGCGTTTCCTTGTGACCCACAAGGGCATGCAAGGGCCGGAAGCCGAAGACTTGAGGCATGCTCTTCATCCTGGTTCTGGTTGTCTTCTAGATGGTGAAGGCTTTGCTTGCTTGACGTTGGAAGGGGAGCAAAAAGCGAAACTTTAGCAGCTAAGTGGTTGGATTTCAACCACTAGACCACCACAAGCAAAAACGGAAAAAAGGAGAAACAACAACAACAACAACAACAACAACAACAACAACAACAACAACAACAACAACAACAAACCAACCAACCAACCAACCAACAAACAAAGAAACAAACAAACAAACAAACAAACAAACGAACGAACAAAGAAACAAAGAAACAAACAAACAAACAAACGAACGAACGAACGAACAAACAACAAACAACAAACAACAAACCAACCAACCAACCAACCAACAAACAAAGAAACAAACAAACAAACAAACAAACGAACGAACAAAGAAACAAACAAACAAACAAACAAAAAAACG